CTTTTTCAAGGAGCTGAGCTGCTGCCCCTCAAAATAAAGTCTGAGTATGGCACAGTATCCCATTTTCAAAAGTATATATAGAAAAATAAGAAAAATAGAAATTGTATAGAAAAATAAGTCTATATAGAAAAATAATATATAGAAAAAAAATTTTTATGTATTCCAAGAGAAATTATTGAAGGCCCAGGTGTTGCACCTAGTCAGACAGGGAGTATATCAAGGAAGGCAAGTTATGGAAGAAAACTCAAGAAAGTTTTTGGTATCTCTATGAAATCAAAGCTATTTTCACAGTAAAAATAGCCAAGGAATCCTAAATTCTATTTTGACGACCTTCCAAGGTTCAGGACTAGCCAGGTGCATGCTCCTGTGGGAATTTGTAATCTCTTTTAAGCGAGAGCACCAAATTCCACGGGAAGCATACTGTCCCAGAGCAGGGTCCCCACATCTGGAAACAGGAAGTAAAAACACAGCAAGGAGATTTTCAAGCAAGGAGGTGATCACCAAGTTACATCACTGGAAGGGATACTGAGAGGTCATCTAACTCCAGCCCTGTGAAAGCATCTCTGTCCCATCTGTTTTACAGCTCAAAGACCTCCCCAGTGCAGACACCACAGTCTATCCAGGAAAGATGTTCTTTTCTCATGATTCACTCTTTTTGCCTTTAGAAAGTTTCCCCTAATGGTAAAGCTGGCTCTCTCTCACCATAATTTACATGTACTTCTCATCCTACCCAACAGAGACAAAAAAACCCCATTTGCTCCTTAACTCCTGCAACAGCCTTTTAGATGCATGAAGAATTCTCATGTCACTTTTCACATTCTCCAGACCTAAAACTCCATTTTTTCTTGTCTGTCCTCCTTATTTAGATTGAGTGAGGCTCTGTTGATTCATGGTGCTCCCCTTTGGAGGCTCTCACTTTAATCCATGTCTTTCCTGAGTTTCTCTCTGCAGGAACAGCATATAGTGTGATCCCAGCTGGGGCCTTACCAGAGCAATGCAGAATGGAAGGAGCACTTGGTGTGCTCTGCAATCATCTCTCCTGTTTTTACATTTTAGTGTGACATTCACAGTGACAAAGGATTTTTTGTTGTTTTTTGTTTCAATTTGTAAAAGTCAAGGCCACAACATGAAACCAAACTGCCCCTGAGATGCTCTCCATTAACAGGAACTCTTTTCTCCTGTGTGCAAGTGTTTTTGTTAAAAGTCACTGTATTTGAATTGCCATCTGCTGTAAGAGAGTGAATTGGGATCTTGATGAGTTACAGTCTTGTTTTCTCATGCTCACACTTACTGGGACAGCTAAATCCTTTTTTTTTTTTTTTAGTGTTAGAGTAATCTGTATACAAATGAGCAGCTAAGAGCTTCCAAAAGAACTGTTTTCAGAAGAAAGTGAAGGACTAGTCTAGTTTACAAAGGATTTAAAATTTGCTGTTTTCTGTCCAGTTGTCCTGGAGCACTGACTTCCTAAGCAAGAGCACAAGTGTTCAATCTGTGGCTCCAATGCAAGGCAGAAGTCACCAAGCACCCAGCATTCTCCTGGTGCAAGTGATTATTCACTGCACAGGCATGTGAATAGCTGCAATATTTATGAAATGATGTATTCAACCCCCTGAACACACATGCACACCCTAATCCTGACTGATGTTGTGTGCTGAGCTGGAAACTGAGTTTCAGATTAATTGCTGGTGTTGTTGGGTTGCAAGGAAACAAATACAAGTCTAATTCACTTCAAAAAAACTATCTCTAGGCTTACTAAGTAGAATCTCCTGTAGGTAAAAACTTCTGCACTTAAAAAGGAAAATAAAAAGCCAGCCCATCAAAAAGCCAGTGAGTTTTGATCATGTAGATAAACATTTCTAACCCATCATGCTGAAAAAATAAGTGTTCTGATAGGAACTAATAAGCAAGGTTTCTCTGGGGCTCCATGCAAATCTGCTGAGTGTTCAGTATAGACTTCAGCATTTGGAACTGTTTTAAGAATAAGAGAGGTTCTGGGTCTGTGCATATCCACTGCAGACAATTTCGCTGCTCACAGATTTTGCCAAGCAGTAAAATATAAATTTGCTGCTTTGGGTTTGCTGCTATGAGTCAGGACTGTGGGCATATGAGAAGCTGATGAGAAACACACAACTTTCACTTCACTAGACTGTAAAGCCTTAAGTAGAATTAACACAAACCAAAGGCTACACAAGTGCAGAAAACTCTCTCCCAAAATGGTAAATTATGCCAAGGCTGGGAAGAGCAGCCCAGCTGAGTTTCACTTCATGCTTTAGGAACAACAGTTCAAGTGTGTAAAGAGGTGTGAGATCCTCCAAAGCAGTAAGACAAGTCTTTGTCAAGGAAGAAAATATAGATATTCAAGCACACCATACCCAGATGAAGTACTACTAGACTGCTGGCCTACAATTAATACACCAACCAAAAAAAATCACAGGTACAGCATTTCCTTGTATTCAGACAGCCCCCAAGAAGGACCAAAGGGAATGGATTCAAATGTGCCTTGATGAAATGCAATGGCAACTCCTGCAAAGTCATTACTGAGACCCTTCATGGGTTCTTCACCTAATTTGGACTATAGAAGTTCCCCGTAAGAGCTGCCTGTAAAGCTGAGATTGGTTTGCTCCACAGAGCATGCATCAAGGTCTAAAAGGCATGTTTACTATTTGGAGTCTGGATTAAGGGAGAGCCTGAGCTATGTTTACTATGCTTGTTTATAAAACAACAGCTTTTTACTCCTTTAAGGAAATGTACAGAGCAGCTCCCTTGTGGTGGTGTTGTGGAAATAACTGGCAGTCTCTTCCAAACACATTTGGAAGTTTCCTTCAAACTCTTAACCATGGTTAGTTTCTCTTTAGCCGTGTTGTCCTGGTTGAGAAGCTTATTTCTTTATTAGAGCTACTGGAACTGTTCTTTGACAAGCTATGAAAAAGACTGTACCTATGTTCAATCCAAATTCATCACTGTTTAGAGAAGTACTAATAAAAAGGGAAAAGTAAATCAATGAAGTCACTTTATTGATCTTGAGAATGTGGAACTACTATTAATAAAACATGTTGATGTTGTTTTATGGATAGGTCAAAGTCCTGCTAAGGGTGTGTTTGTCATTCTAATTTTTGTGCAGTTTCATCAACAAAGTATTTGCTCTTGCAGTATTGTAGTTATTCATCTCCTGTTTTCCTCCCCCACAGCCAGAACATCTGCTAAATGTTTCTGAATCCGAGCTTGTTGGGCCAGGGCCCGCTGCTTTTCCATATTTATGAACTGTGTGGTACACTGGCACTCATTCAGCAGCCTGCTTCCCCAGGCTCATGCACAATGACATCAGCTGCTGTGGGTTTGTGTGCAGGAGATCCACATGTGCAGGGCTCACACAGGGGGCTGCAGAAATCCTCTGGCCTCCAGAAGCACTCAAAGTCCACTGCTGCCCAGGAACAGAGCTATCAATTAACATTTGAGCCATGCAGGGATGAGGAAGAGGAGCTAGAGGTATTTATGGTGTCACCTGGAATTGTAATGGAGAGTAAAGGGCTAAAATGGAATGAAAAGAGTTCTATCTGACTCCTGAAATATCATCCAAATATTTTTCAGTTTGGTCAAAGAGGCCAACTAAACAAAAGCTACTACGCTTGTGTTAGTTGTAACAGGCAGGACAAAGGAGCCCATAATTAATTTCTGACTTCTGTTTTTGCTCTGTAGTAGCCCAGGCTGTCATGCCAACACTCAGACAGGCCCAGCTTTATGCTATTTACACACTGAGGGGAGGCTGCTGTGCCATTCTCGTGCCCACACGTGACTCCCATCACACCAGGAGAGGCTGTGCTCACAAACTGCCCTTGTGTGCCCAGCCTGGGTGACCTGTCCCTGCTCCCTTCCCAGCTGCTCTGCAAACTGTGCCTTGCCAAAGTCAGGGATGCAGGAGTTTCAAACCTCGTGAGAAACAAGGGACCCCCCTCTCCCCTCGACTCCGAGAGCTCTGAGGGTCATTTGTCTGCCCAAATGCATGCCAGCAACAGACCCCAGGCACAATCACAGCCTAATTTTCTTAATGAGATTACAGCTAGAGATGCCCCAGTGCTGCTGGCTGATTAAGGAACAGAACAGGCACCAAATTCATCTGGAGAAAAAGAAATCTCCTTGCCTTTCAACCTGCAGGTTGATCAGGATTTCAGATCTATGGCGCAAAAGCTTTGATTTCCTTTCCCTTATAATTCCTTACAATTATTTTTTTGCAATCCATTACTTTCTTTACAAAGCAGTGTATTCATTTCACAGATGACTAAGTTACATGAATATTTTTCAGGACACGATTTGAAACTGATGATCACACTTCTCAGTAACATGACTACATTTATAGATGCCTATTGTTAGCCATGGTAGATTGATCTCACCCATGGCTACTGTCTGTGTGCTTGACTGTGACACCCATGTGCTACAGGGGAACATGGTGGATCTCTGCCAGTATAATAATTCCTTTTATCAGCAGTTTATCTGGAGCATCTGTTTGTCTCATCAGAGTGAAACTGCCTGTAACTCTATCCTCCACAGGGCAAATACTCTTTCTGCACCTGTTCAAGCATTTGATTTACTTACTGCTTCAATTCTTAATCTCAATGAAAACAAATAAGTCAGCTTGTACAACAAAGGCTGGAACCACGAATTAAGTGGAAAAGCTGATACAGGAGCATATCAGCTGGCTAGAGCACAAACCTGGTATTAAGGTAGGATTGTGCAGAGCTCACTGCAAATTGCAGATCTCATCGAGCTTCCTGCAAGAAACCTGCTGCTGCTGATGGCAAGGCTGCAGCTCCTGCAGGAATTCATGCCTAGGACAAAAAGCCAGTAGCAGCGCATTCATGGATTTTGCAAGAAGCCTAGAGCTGGCACAAAAGAAAATTCCTCCCCTCGGACACGAGAAACCCCAGAATTTCCTAGCCAATGGCAAACAATAAATAAACAATTTGCAGCAGAAGGTAGGGGAGGCTGGCTGGGTGGGTACTCACCGGGAATGACCTTCTTCTCACATGAGTAACTCCTCCCGACAGGTGCTCCCAGCTCCCCGCCTCTGCAGGGGCAGACACCAAATGAGAGCCCCTGCCCTGCCTCACACGGCTTCTCCTTGCAGCGGCGATTTTCTCCTCCAGGCTGTGAGGTAAAGCCACAATTTAAAAAGAACGGGATCTCGGGTGCGAATCTCCTTGTGCGAGCCTTTGCCAGAGCATCTCGAGGCGGTCGAGTGATGATGGCTCTGGCTGCCAAGTCGTCACGGTTGCCACAGCAACGGAGCAGTGGTCCCCTGTGGCTGGCGAAGGGAGTGGCAGTGGGAGCCCCGAATGGATGCACTGCCTCCTCCTCCTCCTCCTCCTCCTTCCAGGGCTCCTGTGACCTGGGGAACCCACCCCTTTCTCTAAAAAGGCTGTTTGATGCAGAAGGTGTTTCCCTCACACCCCCCCTCCCACCTTGGTTACTCCACTCACAGATCTCCACGGCATCTTTAGTCTTGTTTCTGTGGTGGTGGAGGAAAGCTGGCATAACCCCGAGAGAGCTGCTGGCTTCCCCTGAGAAATGCCATGGCTTGTGAAAAGAGGAGAAAAGAAACCTTGTTCTGGTGAAAATCTGAGCAGGAGCACACGCTCCCCAGTGTTTGAAGAAGTGCTGGGGCAGTGTGATATAATCTTGTCTCTGTGAGCAGGTGAATGAGCAGTTGAGAGAGCAGGAGGGGATTTCTCTGCCAAGTGTTTCTCTGCCAACAGAGCCGAGCACAAGTGTGTCTGTGAGGCCCTGTTACAGCCACGGGGAAGCTCAGGGCAGGCAGGATTCCTTTGTTCCTGTCCCCTCAACTGAAAAGTCTCGGTGCTGTCATTTCTGAGCTATAATATTGCTGTTTTCTACTTATTTTTATTATAACATCTACATAAACATTAGCAGTAATGTTAGGCAGGACAGTCCAGCACAGTGCAGATCTGCAGAGTCTGGGCTGGAGTCAGAAAAGCAGCCAAGGCTGCAGAAGCAGGCGTTATTTTGCTGGACAATGAACAATTCAGCCTTGTTTTGGAAAGCAACTCCTTGGATAGTTAAATAATACCACTTGTTTATGAGACAGACTATTTATCTCATCTTCTTTATAAAATGTTGCTAACGGTTCTTTGTTGCTTTCCTGATTATTCTCTCTTAAAGCCAAGTGCTTCTTTTGAGGTAATGGGTTTCCTCTCTCAGGGCACCACTAACAAACACAGCTCTGTGTGCACGTAGGTGGTGTGGACAAAAACAAACACACAGAAGTTAAACCCACTCATTTGCTTTCTTAACTGACTCTCCTGTCCTCACTTTCAACCCAGGTTGTTTGGGCAATCTGTGACAGTGTCTCATCCCAATTTGCTAGGTAGGGACAGGCCTCCAGGGGCCAAAATCCAGATGTTAGAGATCCCATCATGACAAGGGGTTAAGTACCCTTTTGCTCCACTGTAATCTGCAGCAGCAGAGATGGGACTAGTTAGGAACAGCAGTATCAGCCAGAAGGGCTGATTATAATCTAGTTCAATTCTAGAAAGAATTGAACTAGATCATAAAAGCTGTGAGCAGGCAAAAAAACCTCACACGTTAAAAGAAATAAAAATTCTAATATTTTTATTTATCTTTGCCTCGGCCTTCAGACTTTCCAGCTTTCCTCCAACATACTGTGAGATTAAAACTTGACTTGGAAAAAACATTTCAATTTCTGCTATGTTTACAGGATTCTTAAATGTGGGACTTGGAGAACATCACCAAACACGGTGATGGCCATGACAACACCACTGGGCTTGGTGGTGCAGAATATCTCTGTGAAGGAAAGTCCATCTAGGCCCAGCCCAAGGGAGTCTGGAGCCTTCTGATCACAGGTGCTGGATTTAACAGCATCACCCCCACACACAGACACCTCCCTGCACAGTGCCTTGTTCAAAATCAGTTATTGGAACAGCCAGAATTAGGAGCATCCAGTTCCACACAGGTGTGAGGTTACTAAACATATGAAGGCATCTTGTAGAAATTCAAGTTATCACGAGCATTTTATGCCTGTTTCCTCAGTAACCCTAAATGAGAATGCAGCAAGATAGAAACTGAGCTGCACACTTGGTCTCACACAGGAAAGTGGTGCTTGGTACATATAATTAAATAAATCTGTTTTGCTGACACTCCCTCCTCCCCCACCCTTTCCCTCAGCTATTTTTATGCTTGGCTTGGTGGAAAAGACTTGGTGCCTCTGGGTGTGAAGCATGGAGCCATTCAAAATGAAGCTGTCCCCTGAAGAAGACAATCCTGAGCAGGAATAATGCTGGGCTCTCAGGGGGTAGGAAAGCAGCAGAGGAATGCAGGGCAGAGGGGGTGGCTGGGCTTGGCCTGCAGCACTGAGAAGACTTTTTCCATTTGCAGCTCTCTCCTCCTGCAGTCAGAGCTGCTTCATGGCATCACGAGGGCTGCTGCAGCATTACTCAGGGAAGAGGGTATAAAAATGACAGCAGCTAATAAGCACCCATTTCTCATCAGTGGCCTCATAAGGCTAATTGCACAAACAGAACGTTTCGGAGGCCAACGGGCTGGAAATGACATTCTGTCTGCTGGATCCCAACCAGCACAGAGAGACTGCCTCCCTGAGCCTGGACACCAGCAAAGGGAGGGCAGGCCCCAAATGTGTGTCCACAAGAGGACACAGACTTCAGAAACTGAGCTGGAATGCTAAAGACACAGCACAGCCATTCTTCCTGGTGATCAGGAGCAGAAACATTGAATGTCCCTTTGTCCACAAATGTCCAGACCACATTCCTGGTTCTGAAGTTCCCTCACAGAAAGGAAGGCTTTGTCTGGAGCTCACGACTGAGGACAGCAAGAAAGACTGAAAAAAACCTGAAAAAAACCAATCCAAGCTTGGTGGAGCAGGGTGGAAGCACACCTTGAGGCCTTGGCTCAGGGGAGGCATTCATGCTTCCCAGAGGAGAGGCTGGCTGGTGGGAAGGACAGACACTGGACAGAGCTTTGTGTGGTCCCAGAGCAGCACAAAGGCAGGGAGTGTGTGTTTGTGTGTGTAGGAAGGGAGCTGTTATAGTGGGAGTGCAGCCCCTGCACGTGAATTATAGATGCCAAAGCTGGAAAAGTGCTTGTTGGCCTGTTCACTTCCCCTTCTTTTGTCTGCTGAAGATTTGAAAAGTTCAATCTTCCACTCATTGCACCTAATGCAGTATATTTGTTCTAGTATCATCAGCCACTAATTAGATCATTCTGACCAAAAAAAATACTTGACAAGATTGGTTCTTTCAAACATCCAGGTTCATTTTGCTCTTAGTGTCACTATCCAGGTTTATTTTAAACCCACATTTAAATGTTTTTCTCACCCTGATCTATAGTTAGGCTTGTTAGGATGTGTCTATGCTGTTTTTTCTATTTTTAAAATATGGGCCCACGTTTGATGGGTTTTTGCTTGAGATTCTCTGGTACTGCTGGTAAAATTAACTTACAGCCAGATTTCAGGGCTATTGGAAAGCTATGACCACATTCAAATTTATTCTGTTCTAAATGATTTGGATAGGCTAGGCTTTTTTTTCCCCAATATTTCCACACCTGATTTTCATGGAGATCCATGCTCCTGCTTGTTTATACTCCTGCTAACTGCAGCTATGGTCATGCATGTTGTTGATGGGTTACTGGAAAGCAACTCAGCAATTTTATAACTGCATTATAAATAATTCAATCAACTCTTCTCCACATCTATGTCTCATTTATTAATGGACTTTCTTTCTAGGCAGTATTTTCTTCTCTCATCCCCGTCCCAGATATATAAATATATATATATATACACACACTTGGAGGAGGAATTTAATTAGTTTCACCGTCCTTGTGCCAAAACTTCCAGTGACTTCAGTCAGAGATTTGCCTGAAGAATGCCTGATTATAGCCTGTAGGAGTTGGTCCTATTTCTGTACCCCAGAACAAGCTGAAGAGAGTGCACAGAGTGGGCACTGGAGTCCCATGGGGGTTTGAACCCAGAGGCATTGGAAGAGAAGCACCAAAGTGTGAGTTTATGTGTACAAGAAAAAGAAGGTGAAGCACACAGAGGGGAGCCAGGCAAACTGATTGAGGAGATTTTACATTATCAATTAATGTTAAGCTTTGTTTGTTTGTTGGTTTGGTTTGGTTTGGTTTAACTTTTCAAATAACAGAAGAGTGGATTTTCTCTTTCCCCCCCTTTTTCTGTCATCAGACAGCTGTGCAAATATTTTAGCATGTGATTGTGGAAGCACAACACAGCAAAGTTCTGCATTGTGCCAAGAGAAAAGTAAAGGAAAACAAAAGGCAAAAGCCTGGGGTAGATCTGGCTGCCAGGATCTTCTGTCCCCAGGGGAACCAGAGAGAGGAAAAGGGAGAGAAAAAGGAGACCTGTGATAGCTTTCACTGCTGACAGTGACAGTATCCCAGGTCAGAAGGAAACACAGGCTGGAAGGAGGGTAGCAAAGGTATCAGAGCAATTAGCAGTCATAGAACCACATCTTTCTCTTTTTTTGTTGTTGGCTTTATCTGCATCACCAACTGCTGGTATTGTACCTGCCCTAAGAGACTGAGCTCTCAGGTTGCAGGTAGATTGAAAACCCAACTTACACAGCGCAGTAAATCAGCCTTTTAATTTAGGAAATCAGACCTACATGCCTGGTTTGTGGTTATACTGGCCTGGCATCAAACAGGACTTTTCCTAAAGCAGCTTGAGGGGTTCATCAGCAAGGCAGTGATCCAGGCCAGATGACTGAAAACCCATCTCTTCACAAGTTCCCTCAGGAGTTTATGCTGCACAAGTGTGGGCAGTGGGTGATAACACAAACCTAAATATGCCACAGCCAGGAATCAAGCTGACTGATTCTCTGCCAAAGAATCCTATCTTCTTACTGTAGGGGAATTAATTAATCCATTAAAAAATTAGCTATCACTTGCAACATTCTCAGTGGTTTGCCAGGCTCATTTCAGTGATTCCTCTACATCAAATGACAGCACATCTTCATCTTTCACCGCCTAAGTGAAAACAATAGGTCACTGTGTAATGGGACTCCATATCAAGACTCATTCCTGAAGCTGGTCATCATTCTGTGCCCTGAAATACAGAGCTGGGGATACTTCTTTTTTTTCCCCCCTTTCTTTTAGGCCCAAGAAACTGCCAAAGTTACTCAAACAAACAAGAAACTCTTGGCTGTACTGCATGTAATCTCCCATCCCAGGGAATTAAACAGGTGGTTATTAAAACTGTAATAA